GAGGAGCGAGGAGCGAGGGGGCCGGCCGCCCGCTGCACTGCGGGTTGTCATATCGGGAGCGGAGCCTGTTCAGGCTGCTGCTTTTCGGCATTTGCGAAATGAATTCTGAAAACAAAAAGGTGGTGAGAACAATGGAGTAAAGCCTGCGCGCTGCAGGCTGCCGTCGCAGGGCTTGGCTCCCCGCTTCGTAAGTGGTCGCAATTAAAAGTTCTCTTAAACTTTGAGAGCGTTATCTTTTGCGACTGATAACCCAGGAATGAGGAAATCCGTGTATGTATCTCTTTTTCTGTGCTTTAAAAACGCTATCACTTAATTTTTAAAAGAACTATGGCTGACTCATACAAATCTTTCTTCTCACTTTACCCTCCTCCTTCTCAAACATCTTTACATATCAAATATTGCCTTTTGGCTCAAGCCTCAGAAAGCTGACAGCTTTGTAAAGCATCAGCCGAGAAGCCAGACTGCATTCAGTATGCGCTTGGAATTAATAGTTCTTAAATGAAAAGCTTTGAAGTCTTAAGCGTAATTTCACAGGTGCATTCTTCTGCCCGTTTTTCTGATGCCGAACAGCAAATCTTCTGTTCTTGCTGGCTTAGGTCTCAGAGTATCAGACCTGGATTACTGTCTTTAAATACCTGCACAGTTCTGCCACCGTAGCAGATGGCAAAATATAATTAAGGAGTACTGTCACCTCGTGTGATTTGTTTCCTTGTCCTTGCAGAGGTAAAAGTGCTGTAGTCTGCCATGAGGTGACACGCTTCACCTACGGACGGCCTGGTGAGCCCCTCAGACAGAGGGCCGGCAAGGCCTGTCCGGGATTGGCCTGCTGCAGACATCCGAGGAGAGCTCCTGTGAGTGCTGCAGCCCTTGAAACGATGCTCTCTGCTTGGGCGTGCTTCAGGTGGGCTCAGGGAGTTTTGGGGGGGATGGTGACCACGCAGCACCACCTGCCCCTGAGTAAGGGTTGTTTGTGTGCGGGGGCCCGGCCCTGGGCACCCCGGGGCTTCAGCCCAACCCTCCTGCCCTGCTTTGTTTTATGCAGGAGTTTCCTCATTTCCCTCCCCCAGCCCCACAGCTGACAGCGTGCTTTAAGTTTGACCACTTCCTACAAGAAATAATGTCAATACAGCGGTGGCAGCAGAGGTAGTATTCAGTGTACATGGCATCTTATTTCAAATAACTTTCTGGAGCTTTCTTGTGCTGGGTCTTTTTTAGGCTTGCAGTAATGATTCCAGCAGCATAGCATGCTCAACTCATTTTTTTTTTTCATATGTATAACTTCAGCTAACGGTGTAAGGATGCTAGCTGCACTTGAGATCCGAGTTTGGGTTCCTCTTAACCTTCTCCTGGTCTGTTGAGACTACAGCGTTATGTTGTAAGTGGCTATAGGATGGCACATAACTAGAAACTAGTAATTAAAATCCTTTTTTTTGAAGGAATATATACTTTTTGCTATCAACAAATGCTTTGCCCTGAGATACTAATGGACTCCTACTCGCTCCGATGGATTGTGAGCCAGAAGTCTGCGTAAGATGCTGTCCGGAGTGAATTATAATGAACCAAGGCCTCTGTGACAAGTTTCTAATGTTCATTAAGCACTTTCACCTTCTCTTATGAGGCCTACTAAGCTAGTATTAAAAATATATTACCCCTTCTTTTCTGTAGATGTAAAATAACGGCTAATGTAATGCATATGCTAAAGTGTGGTATAAACATCAGCTGATTCTGTAAGGCAGTAGCATTCCCTCCATTTTATTGTTTGATGAAACAGAAAGAAGTCTAAATTACTTGCCTGAAGCTACATACTGTAACGGTGGCAGACATGGAACTAATCTGTATTTCTGCAGCCTCGTCCAATGCTCTGCCCTGTAGCTTACGGGCTCTTGCTACGAGGCACAGCATCTGCTATACAGGGACTACTTTACGCGGTTCAAACTTTCTTCAAGATTTTCCCCCTCCCCAGTTATGGTCTGGACTGTTAGATGAACAGTGTATTTTTAACATAATAATAAAGTAAAAGGTGCATTTCAGTACGGATACTTGATTTTTTTTTTGAGTGATGATCATACCCTGCAGCTGATAGAGACCAGTTGATACTGTGATGACTCAGCTGTGGGAGTATTACATAAAGTAGGTCAATTTTTAAATCTCATAGTCTGAAGCTAAAGAGACTCCAGGTTTATAATTTATATTTTGTTTATACACATTACTGATATTTCCTGGTTTGAACATAACTGAAAGTTCTTGAGGAGGAGGGAAATGTTTTTTGGGGTTGATTTGGGGGTTTTTTTGGCCATTTATATTGTATAGTGACTGAATTCAATCAACTTGAACTTGGGGAGGGAGGGGAAACACCAGCTGCTTTCATTTCTGAAGTTTCCAGTTTGCAGCACTCCAGTGAAAGGGAGGCTTAAAGGTAGTTTTAAAGTAGGGAAAGGGAAAGCAGAGACACGTTTATTATTTTTTGTTACAAGCACCCAGCTTTTGTGTGCTTTAGCAGATGTGGAATTTGCAGAGGAATACATGCATTGCTGCGAAATCCAAATTTGCGTTTAAAACATTCTGGTTTTTCCCCCCTAGTCCTATGCATGGCTTTCTTCCCAACTATAAATGTAAACCAAGTGTAAATGATGCATTGTTTGCCTTAGTGGGCAGTCTGAAAACAATAGCGCTGATGGATTTGGCTGCCTCTGTGTAAGATTGATGGGATATTAACTTTCAAGTCTAATAATGCAAATTTCAGTGTTGCCAAACCTGAGCTTCCCTTAAATGTTTCCTGATGGTGATGGCCCTAAATGTCCCTATGCTACAGGCCAAAACTTCAGTTGACAGTTTTTATGATCTAGTTCTTCACCTTCAGTACAAAGCCCCTTAACCTGTTGTTACGACTTTAGAGAAAAGGGTAAAACGTACCTGGACTTTAATGTCCAAGTGAGTGATGGGGTATGGTACGCATATACTTTTTATACTTACTACCATTTTTTATTTAAAGCGTTTTTAAGTGGTAGGAAGCCACCAGGAAACTTAAAAGCTGCGAATCGCTTGTAAAATTCAGGTCTAGTATGTGAGGAGTACTTGGCGCTGAAATTCAGATACAGGAAATAATATGCTTGCCAAAATGTATTTGGTGTTCTCTTAGATCTTTGATGGGTTGGTTGTTTTGCTGGCTCATTACTACTGGGAATATTGGATGTGATCCTTCTTGGTTTTTAACGGGCAGGTTTTATTTGGGAACTCTTGGTTTTCATTTGTAGGGGTGGGTTTATTTCAGTCAGTCAGTCAGTCACAAAAACGTTTTCTCAATGAATCAGTAGGTAGAAGGTTTAAAACCATTTGCCGTTTCACTTGCTCAGGTTTCACACTTTCCCTCGTGTAATGACGTCCTGTTCTGATGTTGTTCCTTCAGTAATCTGGCAGAGGCCTGGTATTTCCAGTGGTGGGCTGTGGGAAAGGAATAAACCCTTTAATTATAGCAGCGAGGGCTTGTTTGAAAATATGCTAGCTCTCTTCCCCTCCACGTGTGCTTTCTTTTTGTCTGTTGCTTCCTTATGCAGATGAAGGGTCCGAAGCTGTAAAATGCTGCTGTTCAACTTGCCCTGCAAGCGTGGCCACGATCGGTGGCAAAGCCGAGCGGTGGCTGAGAGCATTGCCACGCTGAACGCCGTGTCTTGGGGCTCTCGGCTAGAGATCACGGCTCCCTGGTCTGCGAGCAGACGGATGGTGTGAGTGTACCCCATCTGCTCCTGTGCGAAGTTTATCAGCTTAATTTATGCTGCTGCAGAGAGCCGTTTGGAGTGACCAGCTTGGCTGAGCACGGAAGCAAGGAAAAAACGCTCAGGTGGAAATCATCATTCTACCGGTTCGCATAGGGAAGAGTGGCATCTGAAACTGCTTCAGCATTTCTGCAGCAAACATCTCATCCCGGACTGACACATCATAAACCGTATCCCGTATTTTTATCGGGGGAAACAAAACCTTTAATCAGGCATAAAAATGGGATTGTGTGATTAAAAAAATGCATTGAAAACAAAATGAGAAACCTATTCTAAGATCTCCATACACTTTCTGCATTTAGGTCAGGCCTGTGGAGCAAGAGTAGTTTCTGGTCAGGTTTGGTTTAGTGCCTGTAGGATTGCTACCGTTGCAGTCAGACATTTTGACACTGCTAAAATCGTTTTTAGCAAAAAGGTGACGGTGCCACCAGAAGAGTTTATAATTGCATCACTTGAGGGGCATGACTTAATCCTTTCTAAACATCTGTCCTCTGTAATGTGTAATCTGCTTGGTCTATCTTACTTGGGTTCTTGCGGTCTTTTCAGCCAGGTTCTTCCCTTGATTTGCTCTGCAAAAAGGCAGCTTTGGAGCTGTGGCTGTTACTATATTGCTTTTACTTCCTCAAGGCTTGGAAGAAATGCAAATAATAAGAATCGAGTTGAGAAACTGTGGCCCGCTTGCTGTGCTCCAGGAGGGCTTGTGGCATTCGTGTCCCTGTGCTCTGCTTTCAGTTCTTTCAGCTTGCCTTGCTGGTCTGACATCTTTTGGATGATGTGATGGTTGCAGATTAGCGTGTTTTGGCACACACACGCTATGATGACTGGCTAACAATATTTATAAAGTTCAAAAATAAACCATGGGAGCTCATTCTGACATAATCTACTAATCTTAGTTTTGCACTTTGATACTGTGTTGTCTGAGCCAAGTTAGGATAACTATATATTACGAGCAATTCATTTTTAGCTTTGCTTGCAGATTAGTTTTGAAGCAATGCATGCTTTTAAATTAAGAATGATGGGAGTGAATTTGGAGAAATTATTGGCTCTTTCAACTATACGCATATGGAAATCAGCTCTGTGTCTATTTTTAAAACAGATTTATGTGAGTGAGAGTAGAGATATGTGCTCCCCAATATTTCTGGACAATGTTGTGTACTGGCATTTTGACTTGGACTTTTTTTTTCTTCACTGCCCACAGGAACGGGACTGTCTTCTCTGCCCTTTCCCACATTTGTATGTTAGGAGAAGGACTTTCTTTTCTCTTTGAGGATTGTGCTTTATTTACTTCTGGATAAAAAAGCTGCTACTGCTGTGGGTAAACTTCAGCCTCATGCTAGGCGTCCTGCTAGTCATGCTGCGTTTTGGGGAGTCCAACCAAGAGAGTAAGCTTTTGAGGCTCCTCAGTGACAGGAATTCAGTTTTCCCTCGGCCCTGGCAACTCCATTTAAACAGCTAATAACGATTTTCTAGCTATGTTTGGGAATGGCCTGCATTTTTAAGAAATACAAAGAGGAACTTGCAGATGTAAAGCGTGCGAGTCAAGTGAACTGCAATGTACAAATATTTTTTGAGGTTGCTACTAATAAAGTGGACAGAAACCATGAGTCTTGGACAAGAGGCTGTCCAGTGTCTCACTCTTTGACATGTTTATCATTATTTTTATTTGTTGTTATATTTAGCGTATAATTTTCTATGCTGTTCTAAAACTGGGAATCTTTATGCCCCAAAAGTACATAGTCTAGAAATTGCATTTAGAGTTTTAAGTTGCTGCAGGTTACCACCATGTGTTTATAGTTTTTTTTCTTTGTATAAGGTGCATGTTAGGCAGACTAAGGGTGATTTAGAGAAGGGGTATGTTTCCTTCTTTCTTGCCTTTTTTATTTCATGAATATTACTTTCAGCCAGTTTGTCTCACAGAGTTCTTTTTGGTACGTCAAAGTTGTAAGCCAAATCTCTCAGCTGCAGTGTGCATGCTAAAACCCCCGTAATACAAATTTCCAATCCTGCACGTATGCCAGATCAATTAAATTCTTAACTTGACTCAAGCTGAAAAAAAATAGAACTGCTTCTGTTTTGGTTTCAGCCCTACAAAACTTGGTCCAGACTTTGAGTTTACAAAACTTAAAGCCAAGCAAAAAGAAGGTTTTCTGTTGTTGTTTGTAGTTTGACTGATAACTAAGCTGGTGTTGAACGCGGTTCCTTTTTGGGTGATGTTCCAAACGACTGGCCTTAATGTGAGTGTTTTTCACAGAAGGATGACATAGATGGAAGCCTGAGATGTGGTTTTCTGATTGATAGTCACTTTTTCCCCCCTTCTCGAAGCGTGGTGATAATGATGAAAATTCTCATGGCCTATTGCCATTGTGCAGACTGGCTTTCTGAGACCAGGGAACATCCCTTTCAGTTTTGGATAAAAAGCAGAAGTTAATGTGTTGGAATAGTATTTCCTGTAATCATTTGTTAAAAGCTGTACTACAGTTGAGTAAGACTGTAAGAAGAAGGTAGTCTTTCTGCTACTGAGGCCTTTATCTTAAGTTTGAAAAGCTTTTACCAATGTTAATTTCTTCGTTCTAGTTATTCAACATATAATGGGGACACAGTAATATCACTTTGTAAGACAAGAGGCTTCGTGTTACTTAAAAGCTGGAGTTACAGCATGTTACAGTAACTGTAACTTGTGAATTATTTATAACTTGAAAGACATAATGGTTGTCCTAATGGCAAATAATTTTGAAGCTGTTTTTTTCTTTTTTTCAAGTCTGTCTGTGATGCCTTGAACCAATAAAAACTACGAAAAAAAGAAGTAGCCATTGAGAGAAGCTGTCCAGTCCTGTTCTACTGTCCCCTTCTTCCTATCTGTGGTGGAAATGTCCTGTGTGTAGCTTTTGCGTTTTAGCTTCGGTAACAGCGTTGTGAATGTGGAGACCAGTAAGCTGCCTAATGCCATGGTTTTATGATCCCTTTAAGCCTGCACTGCACTGAAAGAAGCAGTTTAGCCTTCCTCTGGTTGCCTGTTCCCCCTCTCTTCTGCAGGCCAACATGTGTACCAGGTGATAGCTCCCACCACAGATTGGGGACTTTCTAGGTTAAAACTGATGTGACAAAATATGTTTGATTTTTAATGTGGATTTGTTTAATATTGCAGTTTGTGATGTAGCTGTAAAAATACTTGCTCTGGGGAAGGTGTTGCAGGGGCACAAAATGAAGCGGCAAGGGAGGGGTAGGATTGCTTGTGTTAGCAATAGTGTGAGCTTAAATGGGCTGTGAAATTATGACTAAATAGGAGTCAAGATATAAGTTTTATTTCCTAGCAAACAAAATTAGCTGTCCTTGTCTGTTCTAAGGATTGTTTGGGCATGGATTTTGCTGTACTGTCCTACTGCTGGAAGCATGGTGAATATTAAATAAGGTTGAAATGAAGTTAGGCCATGCAGGTGAAAATGAAGCTGAAAATGTTTGTGCCTGTGGTCATGGTAGTGCCATAATCATTTCCAAAGTGCTAAAATATGTTAGAAGAGGATTAAAAATGTACTACTGTTGTTACGTGTTATGCTTGCTTAGATAGGATTTGAATAATTTTAAACTTAAACAAGAAAAAAGGGGAAGAAAATAAAATTAAGATAGCTGTGCTACTGGAAGCTGAGTTCCACTGCTAAATGTGATAGAAGAAGAAGTACTCGTTTTAATTCAACACCTACATGCACCCACCCCACGATACAGGAGCTCCACCATGGAAGCGAAGCCAGTGTACCGTTCTACTTTCTACAACAAGGACCTGCTTACAGAAGGGAGTTCCTCCAGAAATTTCCCATGGCTTTATTTCTTTTATCTTGTACTACTGAAGAATAAGTTCAAATAGCTTCTCTTGTTAAAACAACTCGTGTCTATTGAATGTGCAAGTGAACTGAAGTGCTGATGTATTTTTGCCCCAGGTTCCCAAGTACTGTGAGAAGGCCAAAGCATGTCAAATCAAGAAGCTACAAAAAACAAGGTTTCCTTTAATTATAGGAACATCAGGATGTGGCATCACATGCCTTTTTCTCACCATTGAAGCCAGCACTGGTGGCTGATCTTTCCTTCGTGGTATAGTGCTTTGGCCACATCAATACAACTAAAGAGCTGCATACGAAATAGGGTCACTGAAATTATCAGGCTTAAAAAGTAGTTAAGCCAATGCTCTTCTTTCCTCCCCCACCTCCTCATCTTTAAATGGTCTGGTTTCAGTGCAAGCCTGCAAAGACTTTTTAGTGGCACAGTTAAGGGAACGGTGGGGCACAAGGACCTCTTTGGCTTTGCTGTGGATTAAAAAGAGATGTGGAACTGCACCCTCAGTTTCGATCCAGCAAGGCGCTGTAGCACATGCTTGTCTCAAATGTATGAATACTCTTACTGACGTCAGTTGAAGTACTTGGAGCTTGTGAGTTAAGCACATGCCGAAGTGCTTTTCAGGGCTCAAGATTTTGCCATTCCTGTGCAAGAGTATGTGCAAGTATTTGCAGGCAGGAATGTTAGTTTTCTAAGAGGATGATAGCCATTTAATGGTTTTAATGGCTCTACTAGATGTAGTCCTGCCTGTTTTCTTTTCTGAACTGTTTCTTTTTCTTTTTGCTTTTCCAGCGTCTTCTCTTAATATTTTATTTAAATGTAGTAACTGTTCTTTTTCTTTCCTTACTCTTCATTATAGTGTGCACGTGTGCATAGTACTGGCCTTTTTTACGGTTCACCCAGCAAGGCGCTGTAGCACATGCTTGTCTCAAATGTATGAATACTCTTACTGACGTCAGTTGAAGTACTTGGAGCTTGTGAGTTAAGCACATGCCGAAGTTTTTTTCAGGGCTCAAGATTTTGCCATTCCTGTGCAAGAGTATGTGCAAGTATGCAGGCAGGAATGTTAGTTTTCTAAGAGGATGATAGCCATTTAATGGTTTTAATCCACTAGATGACTGTTCTTTTTCTTTCCTTACTCTTCATTATAGTGTGCACGTGTGCATAGTACTGGCCTTTTTTACGGTTCACTTCCCCACCCCCCCTCCCTCTTGTCTTCTAGTCCCATGCCATGTCTTCT